TTATTTGTATCGCTTTTTGCTAGCCTCTGCTCTTACTTGTATTTTACTATTTGTCAATAATTTATTTGCGATTTGAATAAACTATGTATGTATGTATGTATACTGAAAGTTTAAATAAACGAAGATAATAATAATGATAATGATAATAATAATATTAATAACTGCTTTGTAACAGTTAAAACACAGGGATATTAGATTAAAGTAAATGGTGAAAATAAAATCGTAAAAACCAATTTTTTTTAATTCGAGGTCAAGATAATGACCTCCGTAACAAGAACGATTTAAAAAATCGATAAAACATACACTAGAAAAAATTTATTTCCGCGTGCGTCTTTGTTTTCATATGGTAACTGATGTCGCTCTTATGTACACACCTAATTCAAAAAACGCTGTCATCGCCAAAGGCGATAAACGATAGGTCATTCCGACATGGAAATGGTATCGTTGAATACAAAGAACATTGAATCAGTCTCAACACTAAGGTCCATACTCTTTAATTTCTTGTAACTTAAGATATAGGTTTTATCTTTTGAAGAATAAAGATTATTATACTCTTGACGAGAATAATAATAAGAAACACAAGTCATTCCAGCTATTCTTGGATCTTAGAATGACATATATCCTATTGCTTTGTGCCTAACGCCTATTGCCTATCGCTTTTGGCGATGACAACGTTTATTGAAATAGGTGTATATTTTGGGAAAAAACAACACACTTTCAAAAACAAATCGTCTTTTAAACCTCGAACTCCACAAAAAACTTCCCTATGAGTGGGGGTTCATTTTTTAAATACTCTTTTGGCTCTTCCTCGAAGACTTCTATGACCGAAATTTTCGTGCAGAAAATTTTCTGTCATGTTATGTCAAGGTTCTTACCTGCTTAGGACTCGGGCAAGAACAAATTTTGACATCTCCGAGGAAGAGCCAAAAGGGTTTTTTTTTTTAAAGAAAAATAAGGGTCCAACAACACAATGTCTTAAATACGAGTCACAAGCTCGCGCTGGTCTTGAAGGCAAGTCATAACGTATATAGCCACATGCATCTCACTTGTTGCACGTACAAGCTATGTTGGACCTTGATCTTGTGCTGTTGCATGAGAGTATAAAGCGACGACTGAAAGACTTGATTATTGCCGCTCTGAGGTACTGAACGCAACACAGGAGTCTTAACGCTAAAATAATGGCAGCAATGTTACAAGCTCCTTTGCGAGCTTTACGAGCTCCTTTCCGTGTCGCAGCTGTTTCTCACTGCAAGGACCTGTTATCAATAGCCTGGCAAGACGGTAAGCAGAGCAACTTCCCAAATATCTGGCTTCGAAGTGCAGCGCGCGATCCCGAAGTTTTCGATGCCGGTTCTTTGCTGTATAAAAGAAATGACTACGTTGAGTTTATCTGTAAAGAATCCCCGTTGGTTCGTGCAGAACACGAGAAGGGAAGCGAGGATATTCTTGTTGAATGGGGAGACCATCTTGGTACTTTTAATGCTTCTTGGCTTCGTGCTCAAGACCATAATATCAACAAAGATCTTTGCAAGAAACGCGACTTCACTGTTTGGGATGCCAACTTTAAGTTCCCAGTTTATAACTACTCTGAAAGAATGGAAAATTTCRACAGCTGGTTTGGGGACTTGAGGAAGTACGGCTTGGCAATTTTCCAGGGAGTACCCCCAAATGAAGCAGGTATTTTAGGTCTACTTCACTCGATTGGTCAAGAAGCTCAACGCTACCACCCCACCAATATATTACATATCGTAAAGGACAGCAAGGAGGAGAGCTCTTATGAAAGTTATACCTACGCGCCAAAGGTCCACCCAATGCATGTGGACACCCCCTATTATGCATCAATGCACAGATTGACGGCCTTGGTAGGAAACCGCTACAGCGCTCCGACCCAAGACACATACAGTCTTTTCGTTGATAACCTGAAGGTTATTGGAGACATCCGTCGAGAAGAGCCCGAGGCTTATGACCTGCTTCGCACGATACCGGTGCGTCTGGGAAGGAGACGACTCAGGACAGTCCTTGACCATTGTCATGCTGATGAACACTATAAGTATCACCTAGACAACGTGGTATATAAAACAATGATCGCCTATGACGAAAGAGAAAAGCTTGACTGTATCAACATGACGAACAAACACGCAGGGGTAGATTTCAGTGTCTTCAAAGACCATACAACGATGAAGAAGCACTATGATGCGTACAGGCTGCTGCAGAAAAAGCTAGATGAGGAAGCGAACCAGCAACGACTTATCCTGAAAGAAGGAACCGCTGTTCTTATGAATAATGGGCGCATCAGCCATGGACGACAAGATATCCATGCTACTACCGAGCGTTATGTTCTGTCGGCTTTTCTCTCCGAGAGGATGTGGGATACGAGATGGCGAATCCTGAATGGGCAAAAATCAGGTCTCGAAGAGAAATGGCTGTATGGATGTTCGCCTGAACAACTGGAGATACTCGCAGACAGAAAGGGAGAATAGAAAATAGAGAAAGAGTTATTCGTAATGTTTAGGAGCGATTATTCGGGACAATTTTACTCTGCAACTTGTCTCGCAATATATGTTATGTGTCGTTGCCAGGTCATTGACTGAAATCTATAATGCATACAGAAATGTATTCTGTTATTTCTAAGTAAATAAATCACTAAAGAACCTAAAATACTATGCCATTTTGTGTTCTCAAAATAGTAATATTTCAATATATAAAGCAAAATTATGCTGTCCCCCCCCCCCCCCCCCC